ATGAGGGGTAGCAAGGACAGCCAACCCCACCCTGGTTCTCAGTGGATTGGCAGATGGCACAGCCAGATTGTCCCACCAGCCTGGAGCTAATAAAACAATTATTCAGAAGGGGATAAATTCCTGTTACAATCAGGTTCCTAGTGTTGGCTGGGATGGAGGTGGTTATGTTCTTACTGGCCGACACTGTAAGCAGACAAGAGATCAGGTAAGAGAGATGAAAGCTGGCTTTTTAGGGTCCCAGGCCATAGACTCTGAGACAGTGGAGCTCACCACAAACTCACAGCTCTACTGTTTGATTTTGTTTGAGAAGTATTCATTTATTTTCACTCATACGGCCTTCCATAAAATCAACAAAAGCAGATTTGAGGGTTTTGGGAACCACTTAGGAAGTGGACATAGTTTCAGTGGGTCCACATTGCATATAAAGGCAGCCAAACAATAAAGTGATATTATGCTTGCAAGTCCAGAAAGCTCAAATGCATTTCTGACCGTTCAATATTAGAAGTTTATGCACATTCAGGATTGGGGACTTAAAAATTGATTTCATACGTAAGAGTGAGCTATCAGCTCTCTGCTCCTCCCTGTTCCAGAGACAGCCACATCTTCTTGTGCAGTGCCAGCCTCATCCCGTAGCCAAAATGGTGAAGGTAGTATTTACGGATTTGGCTGTAGTGGGCGCCTGGTTACCAGGGCTGCCTTCTGTTCTGCATCTGGCAAAGTGGAGATTGTTGCCATCAATGACCCCTTCACTCACCTCAACTACATGGTCTACATGTTCTAGTATGACTCCACCCATGGCAAATTCAACGGCACAGTCAAGGCTGAGAATGGGAAGCCATCACCATCTTCCAGGAGTGAGATCCCGTTAACATCAAATAGGGTAATGCTGGTGCTGAGTATGTTGTGGAGTCTACTGGCATCTTCACCACTATGGAGAAGGCCGGGGCCCACTTGAAGGGTGGGGCCAAAAGGGTCATCATCTCCTCCCCTTCTGCCAATGCCTCCATGTTTGTGATGGGTGTGAACCATGAGAAATATGACAACTCACTCAAAATTGTCAGCAATGCCTCCTGAACCACCAACTGTTTAGCTCTCTGGCCAAGGTCATCCATGACAACTTTGGCTCATGACCATAGTCCATGCTATCACTTCCAGTCAGAAGACTGTGGATAGCCCCTCTGGAAAGCTGTGGCTTGATGGCTGTGGGGCTGCCCAGAACATCTGTGGGGCTGTAGCTCATTTGTGGGCATGGGTCTTGTTGGACTGTGTTATGGTTCCTATGTGTCTGCCTCGGCTCAGGGAGGCAGAAGCTCGGGAATTTGACCGAGTTTCCTCTATGCAGCACTGGGCTGCCCGGGCACGGAGTGGTCTCAGTCTGAAGTCCCGTGGGGGCAGAGCTCCTGAGTCAAGGTCTCTGGACCAAAGCAGCAGACTGGGAGAACAGTGGTCTTTGTCCTTGGGCTCCCAGACACTGTTGGGAGCCACGGAAGAACTGAGATGGAGGGCATATGGGCTGGACCGACCCACAGAGCCAAGAGGGGCAAGAGGGAGAGAAGCCCTCTTGGTTACAGCACTTGCTTGGATGGGTTGGCTAGCTTGCATGTGTTGGCGGCCTCTGCGGTGGGAACATAAAGAAATCTTCTAGCAGGAGATTAAGCAGCAGCTTGGTAATCAAAGGCCTTCTCCATGGTTCCCCATGGGGTGGGGGGAGGAGGGGAGGGCAAAGACACGAGGAAGTCCATGGTTTTAAAAGGCAGAAAGTGGATGAAGCTGTACTCCTGTACCCCCAGGGCAGGCCTGAGGTTAAATACCTTGTAAGGAAGAGGGTCTGGGAAGGAATGGTTAATTGGCTATACCCTCTGGCCTTTAGGTGTCTCATTAATATGGAGATCTCTTGAGGCTCTGAGGCCTATAGTCAAGCCTTCTACCTGTGCTAGGTGACACAAACTTCTCTTTGGGAGGGACTGTAGGGGCATTGCCCTACACTCGGCTGATATGCATGGATCAATGGAGGTCTTTGGCCTGTCAGGAGCCTGGCGGCTGGGAGTGTGGTGAAATGTATGCCGTCCCCTTGCAGGGTGGGTCTCCTGCCATCTCTAGCCAGTGTTTCACCAGAAACCAAGCTATCCTTTCACAGTCCCACAAACATCATCCCTGCATCCACTGGTGCTGCCAAGGCTGTGGGCAAGGTCATCCCAGAGTCGAACTGGAAGCTCACTGGCATGGTCTTCCGTGTTCCTACCCCCAATGTATCCGTTGTGGATCTGACATGCTTCCTGGAGAAACCTGGCAGGTATGATGGCATCAAATCAAGAAGGTGGTGAAGCAGGCATCTGAGGGCCCACTGAAGGGCATCCTGGGCTACACTGAGGACCAGGTTGTCTCCTGTAACTTCAACAGCAACTCTCATTCTTCCACCTTTGATGCTGGGGCTGGCATTGCTCTCAATAACAACTTTGTAAAGCTCATTTCCTGGTATGACAATGAATACGGCTACAGCAACAGGGTCGTGGACCTTAAGGCCTACATGACCTCCGAGGAGGAGGAGGACCACTCTTAAATAACATCAATAAATGTATAAATGTTCATTGCACTGCCCCCCCCCCCCAAAAAAAAATTGAGCTATCTTTCTCACATGGCAATAAATAGGTGGAGATGAGTGTCTGATAATCTCTTGGAAGGCCACAGGACCACTGATGTGCCACCAGTCTCTATTTGGTTCATTTGTTCATTCAGATTCCCTTGCCTGTCATCCTTACAAATGCATTCTTGCTGGCCATCAACAGACTGACTTACCGGTCTGCAAGCTTGCAAGGCTTACAGTGATTGACAGAAATGATACACTTAACAAGTCCTGAGCTGCCTACGATCAAAGCCTCCACAGATATAAAGACTCTGAGAAAGCAGAACTACCTGTAAGTAACTTTCATAAAGACAGACTCGATTAAGCACCATCAACATGCCCAAGTCATGCTGGGAGAGAAGAGAAAGATCCCCCTGTGGAGGGCAGAGGTGTCTGGACCAGCTGACAGCAATGGAGGAGCGCCTATGCCAAGGCTTGGGACAGCTTATGGGAAGCACTCAGCCTAGTGTTTGGAACTTAGTAGGAGGTTAATAAATATTTGTTTCCATCCTCCTAACAGCAGATGCAGAGCGCAGCGAGGAAGAAATGGAGCCAGAACAGCGTAATGCAAGCCCAAGAGCACAGCATGCCAAGAGAGAAGGGGGTAATTGTAGCCTAGAGAGCAGTAGCAGCAATAGAGCAGACTGGGGGAAGTTCACATGCCAGAGCGAGGTACTATAATTAGGGAGATGGGTAACTAATGGGATTCAAAAGGTTGCTGACAGTCACATAGTCAATTCAGTAAGTGAGTCCAGAGAGTAAGGAAAACTACAGTTACCATACAGAAATCTACCAACACTGTATGAAGAGAAAGAACTCAACTCTCTAAAGAAGGGTTGCTGGCTAAACCTTTGCATTTTCATAACAGAGAAAAGTACAGAGGGTACGTACAATAAGCTGGAGAGCTAGTTGTCTTTAGTCTAAGAATAGAATTTCTGTAATTAGCGGAAATAAGGTAATTGTCTAATAAAGTTTATTTTTGGCTCATCAATAGTGTGGCTTTTGTTATTCTGGAGTAATTTATCTCCAAAGCCTCAATTAAAAGAAGAAAAGCCAGTTACTAACTGGAGTAAAATTAAAGAAAGCATCATGTCACTACAGTAATAGCCTGTCAGGGAGCGATACACACACAGTGCTGAGCAGTAGAATGGAAGGCTACCCGTGTAATTATATCTTTTTTAGCTCCTTACTTAGAGTCATAGCCTAAATGTGTGTGTACACTCGCTGTTTATACATTGGGTAGCTTTTGCAGTATTTATTTCTTTAAATATTTAACAGTCTGGAAAGGCAGTGACAGGCAATAATATGTAGCGTCTCTAGCATGTTGCAAGGGCTTAATAAATGCTAGAATAATAAATTCCTCTATGATGAAAAACAGCAGTCAGTAAAACTATCACAGCCTACAGTATTTTAAAGACACAGTAACATTAAAAAAAAAGCATAAAATACAAACGGTGCCTTGATTAATCCAGGGAAATAAAGGGACATTTGTCTTCATTAAAAAAAAAAGTCCACCTAGGTAAGTCCCTTTTAAATTCCCCAGAGTGTTGAAAGAAGAGACGGAGATGTGAATAAGGGATTAAACGTAACTTTTAACTTTTTCTTTTCCTTTTTCCTCTCCGTCTAGCTCTAGTTTCTTTCCTCCCTACGTTCTTTCTCCTTTCTCTTGGTACGCCTCGTGAAATGGTGGGTGCTTCTGGGGTCCTTCAATTATCCCTGGCCCCCTTCACCAATGAGTAGATTCTTTCTCTTTTCAAGCCCCCCTCAAGGGCTTGGCTTTGAAAGCAAACACCCCCAGATCAGTGTGCGCAGCACCGTGAGCTGGGGGATGAGAGCGGGGGGCGGGGGGGAGCGAGATGCCTGGCTTCCACGCAGGCGGGGCCGGGAGCTCCTGGCGCGCCGCTGAGGACGAAGACCCCAGCGCTCCAACTTTCCGGAGGAAGTGAGGAGAAAAACAGAGCTGCCCCTTTAAGGGCTTCCCTTCCCCTTTACTCTATGTTTACATAACACGGGGCGCTCGCGGGCCGCGGGGGCTGGCGGGCGGGGGCCGCGGGAGCGCGGAGGCGCGGGCGGCGGCGCGGCCGTCCCACCTGCCCGGCCCGCTCGGCCCCCCGGCGGCGCGCGCTCCTCCTCCCGCGGGGCTCCCGTCGCCGCTCGCAGTCCGTGCCGGGTCCGGCTCGCAGCGGCCGACGAACGGGTAGCTCCAGGGAAGCCGGCGGGCGACGCGCGCAGCCACGACGGAGCAGCCGCGGGACTGGCCGCCCCGCGCCCCGTTCGCCGCCGTGCCGTTCCCCGGCGCGCTCACCCCGTTCTCGGGATGGGAGTGTAGCGGCGGCGCGGACTCGGCGGGGATCGCGGCGGAGGCGGCAGCGGCGGCGGCCGAGCGCGGCTCCATGTTTTCCCCCGGCCAGGAGGAACCCAGCGCCCCCAATAAGGAGCCGGTGAAATACGGGGAGCTGGTGGTCCTGGGGTGAGTTGGGGACGCGGGCGGCGGGGCGTCGCGGAGGGATGCGCTCCCGAGGGCCCGGGTCCCCGGGGCACTGGTTGCCGCGGCCCGGAGGGCGCTCCTGCACCGCGCGGGGTCTCTCGGTGCAGCCAGGAGCTGGGTACTTCTCGTTCCTGAAGACCGCGAACGCGGAGCCCTGTCCCCGAGCCCAGAGCCCAGTCCGCGGGGGTTACGCATTGTCCCAGTTTGTGACCCGGGTCGCCGGCTGGCCTCCGCTTTTTTGCGTCGGGAGTGAGCTCGGCCGAGGGCCTGGACCGGGTCCTGGTTTTCCCGGGTCCTCTCAACAACCTCCCGGATCTCCCGGGTTTCCATACCTCTCGGGTCTCTCACCCCTTGATCCCCTTGCCCCTCGGGCCCTTGCACCCTTTGGGCCCGGCCTTACCAATACCCTACCAGCGGCGGGGAGCTCGCCACCCTGCCCGCTTCGGCTTTCACTCCGCTGGTGAAAATCACATTTTGAAGATAGTAATTATCTACAATCGTTAAAACGGCAGCAATTAGAGACTTCATCTATTTCCTGAGTTTCCTTGTGACATGTCTATTGTTTACCCTTAATAAACCAGGAGGGAGGCTTCGCAGGATTAAACCAGGGTAAAGTGGGCAATGAAAAGGGTGTGGGTGGGGGAGGCGGAAAGTGCAGGAAACTCAGAGCTGGAGCAACTTGGGTTTAGTGCTGCAGGGGAAGGATTGTTTTCCCTTTGGATGTGCGGCTCCAGGGAACCCGCGCTTTTGTCCACTGTTGAGAGATCTGTATTCAGACCCACGCGGGTGCTGATGGGTGGGCTTAGAGGCACGCGAGGAAGCCCCCCTCCCCACCCCTAAGCAGAGACTCTGGGAACTTTGAGAAACGTGTTTTGATTACTACCTTGAAGTAAGTGCCGATTTAAATTTTCTTTTCTTCCTTCCCTCCTTTCTTTCTTTTCTTCCCTCCTCCTCCCCCTTCCCCCCCCCTTTCTAGACAAGTTCGTCTAAAGTTTCCTAGCCTTCCTCAGTCTGTTGCTAGCATTTCTGTGGGTCTAGATTCTGGAAATATCATTGCTTATTTGGAAGCTCAGTAGATGAGCGCCTTCCGCACCTGCATGGGAATTGCATGCACTTAAGAGACAGATGTCAGAGTTCGCTGGGAAGAGGAGGGGATAGGAGGTGGGGAAAGCCACAGTTTCGTCTGTCTTATGTAACTTCAGCCCAGCCTAATTTTGTGGAGTTTGGTTTTGTTTATGTGGCTGGCTTCAGAGTATGCTTAACACTGTGAATTTGACACAGAAGATTAACTTATGCCAGAGCCATTTCATTATTTCCTTTTGAGGCAATCTGCTGAGATGTTTCAGAGCAGTGTAGAAGAAGCCCGGAGAGGTTTGTGTTCATAGCAAAAAGTGTAGGACACTCCAAAGCCAGGAAAAGAATTTATACCCGGGACTGTTGTAATTTAGTGTCTCTGTAACCATATTGCCTGTAGCACCTGCTCCGTCCTTTACTAATGCTTTTCTTGGATCCGCAATGGCTTAGTGGTTTCTTACCTAATTGCTGGAGGCAGGCAGGGCAGTTATCTGTGCACCTACCACATGCCAACACTGTTTGGACGTTGGGTATCATCCAATAGTGGACGGAACACTTCCATTTTCATGTAGAACAAGGCATAAGTAGAGTGAAACCTGAGTAAGTAAGTGGCTAATGATGTCTGGTGTTGCACTTCTTCAACTGAAGTTGGTTAACAGTGGAGCCCTGCCATTGTGGGGGGCGGGGATGTTGCTTCTTGCCGGCTTAAGGAAGGTCTTTAAGGAAGAAAAATGTGAGTAGTAGATGGTTTGTGTATGCCTGAATTGTGGCTGCCGCCCCTCCCCCCATCTTTCAGCTCTCTGATTCTTGCAACATTGAGCACACTAAAGAGTACCTGTAAAGTAGTGAACTAGTTAGATTTTCACGAAGACTTAACACAGTTCTCCCCACTGGACTTGAGAGTATGCCTTCCCCTTTAAAATAACAAATGCATTTAAATGACAACTACCATTACTTTGCATGCCTGGTCCTTTGGGACATAAAAATTGGTGAGCAGACTGTCTAGGAAATGTTCTTGATGAAATTCTTGAGGCTAAAGATGTTCACAGCATAAGATGATGTTAGAATATTTTGTTTACTTGGAAAGTACAGTGACTTTATTTTAACTGCTGGGGTGATTCTCCTTTTTGCTGTGTTCTGAATCACATGGTAAAATATCACTTAGGAAATTTGGAGAGCAAACTGTACAGTTGTCAGGCCTAGATCTATGTAGATGTGATTCTTGTCATAAGTTGCACAGTAGGAGAGAATGCCACGTGGAATTTTAGTGGAGTGGTCACTTTCTGTCCTGTTAGTGGAGTTTAAATTACTTGGTAATTCTAACCAGTTACTGTGTCATAGTCGCAGGTTCTTGTTATGTCCACTGCTTAATTGAAGATGGAGAAACGATTGGCCTGTTTGCTTCTTTTAGCTGAGAACTATTATTTTGGCTGTCACTTTAAAGCTGAGGAACTGGTTTGGGATTTAAGAGCCATTCAAGGTAGTGGAGTCCTGATTAAAGTCTTGGTTTGTTCCTGACCCCACTGGCTCTGTGATTTTTGATTTAGTTTCTTTCTCTCTGTTTCTTTAGCAATATCAAAATAGTCTCCAAGGAGCCTCTCTGAGGTACACTCTGTTGTTCTGTTCATTTGCTCAAATGTGGAACACACACAGTTAACCAAGTCTAAGTAGCTTGGTATTTGTTGATCTTCGTGAGTCTTAAAGTGATAGTGCTAGAACTCACATGGGCACACATCCATCATCATAATAGCAGAAAAGCAATCAGTGCTGGCCTGGGGCGGGGGAGGTAGCTCAGCGAATAAGTGCTCACTGCACAAGCAAGAGGACCTGTGTAAAAGGCATGTGATCACATCTGTAACCACAGCACTGGGGAGGCAGAGACATGCGGATCGCAGGGGCTCCCAGGTGGCTAATCTAGTCCAAATGGCCAACTCCAAATTTGGTGAGCCATCTGTCTCAAAAATTAAAAGTGAAGAGTGACAGAGGAAAACCCCTTACTCTGGCTTCTGGCTCCCAGAGGTGCGTGTGTGCACATGTACATATAGCCATACACAGTACACACAAGACCAGTGATAGTTCTGCCTTCTATCAAGTAGTTGTTATGCACAAAGCAGGTTTTTAAAAGTTATAATAGTATATAGATTTGACTGATGGCTGTTTTACGTACAAGATCATGCAAATTTAGTAAAATTTGCTGATCCATATTCCAGAAAGGCAAAGATGGCACTGAGAGATGGCCCAGTAGGTATGAGAGCTTGCCATCAAACCTGGCAAACGGAGTTTGACTCAGGGTCCACATAGTAGATAAATCCCACTGGTAAATTGTCCTCTGACCTCCATCACACTTGAACCATGACACACACACACACATGTGACACATCTAGTCCCCAAAGTAAATGAGTGTAATTACATTTTTAGAGAAAAAAATAGTGTTTGAAGTTAAGCAGACTGAGACAAATAACAGAAAGAGCATTAACCTGGTGATGGAGTTTAGGAGGGCAGGAGTCTAAGACGGGTAGTATTTGGCCCTTCACAAGGAAACCAGGGCTCTTGAAAGGAGGGAGGGCTCCCTTACTTTTGTGTTCTTCCTGTGTTGGGTCGGTTTCATGGTTTCCTGCTGGAGGCTGGCTCCAGAGGTGCTGCTGGGCCTCAGAGCCCCCTTCTGAAATCATTTTGAAGCATGCTGCTCTTTGCCAACTAATGGCCCATCATGGTTTTGGGGAAAAATATACTGCTTACTCCCTTGGTTTCCCTCGCTCAGCGTTGAATGGGTAATGCATTTTGCAAGGCTTCAGTTCTATTTGATGCGACACAGACCATGTTGTTTTCAACACTTTCAGGCAAGGGCTCTTCATCTGGGCTCTGCAGAACTCAGGGAATCCACAAAGTAGGATTTGGAAAACCTCTATTTTTACAGTTCTCCACCTGAAATCTAGTATTTCACTCAGAAGAGGCAACACAGAGACCTGCTGACTATTTTTGTTACTTAATGTCTTAATACAGAAATAGAGGTGTAAGCAAAACATAGTGGTGCACACATGAAATCCTGGTGGTGGTGGGGTTCCTGGTCATTCCCGGCTACATAATGACATCATAAGCTTACGGTCAGCTTGTGCTATATGAGATCCTGCTCAAATACATATATAGTACCGGTGTGGGCTGAGAATATAGGTGTGGTAAAGCTACTACCTAGCAGGTGCCAGGCCCTGCTTTCTACCTCCAGCACTTAAACAGACTGTTAGAAGTACCAATGACTTTCCAGTGTAAAGCTATTTTGATAACAAAGTAACTAATTTCCTTGGTAATCGATTGTATTTTATTTTATGCATTGAAACCCTTTTTTTTTCCCTCCCTGAGCAGGACTCAGTGGGCTTCACCAGATTACTACAGGATGCTTGGCACAAAAAAGGTTTAAGAGTTCCTTACAGTCAAGGGTTCTGTTGCTTGATCATGCTATGGACTCAGACTTTACAGTTTTTAAGGCTGCTTTTATCCATGGGCTTCCTGTGTTGTGCTCTTTGGACTTGCCTTGATGGCCTCTCTCCTACTGTATACTTTCCTTACTTTTTAATCTTATTTGACCCCAAAGATGTCAAACATTGTATTTTGTAGACTAAAAGATCCTTGAATGTTTAGAAATAAACGGAATCTTCGCTGCCACTCAGCATGTGGGGTGATGTGGAGAGCTGCGGGCAGTCTGTCTGTGGATGGGTGCCTCATTCCAAGGCTATTATGGGTTATGATGTTACTAGCTTGGGGTTGCTATGTTTTCCTTTACTAACTTTAGCCTTGTTTGGTGTGTGTGACTGTCTGTCTGTCTGTGGGCTTGCCAATCTGGCTTTCTTAGATCTGTTTCTTTTAGGTGCCAAGACTGAAAACTTTATTAGGACTTTTCATTTGGGGCATCT